CTTTCGCATTTATAATATATGTAAAACTTTCAAGTAATGTGGCGTTGAATTGTAGTATAATGTACCTACTGGGCCAAAATAACACCATTGAACATGAGTCAACTTTGATGCCTTTTAATATACATACATATATTATGGTTTGCAAAAAATAATAATTTAAAAATATAGAAAAGAAAGCTTATTTATAAGACTAAATTAATGAATTCGTTTTACTGCATAACAACGACTTTCATGTGAAGGGGTTTTGAGACGGCCTTGTTTGGGGCTTTCCCACTGTGCTTCTACCGACGACCGACGGCATGCGGCGCACAGTGGGACAATCGTGTATGTTCGTCTCAAAACTCTGTATCTCAGTTATTTCAAAACTGAATGATCTATAATTTTGCACACATATATGTGAAAGTAAAAGTCTTAATATAAAAAATAATAATTTTGAAAAATATGTCTATTAATTTATTGAAAAAATAAAAATAAATATATTTAAATATGTTTTGGCACCGTATCAGAAAATTCGCAAATATGTGCAACTTTTTTTTCTCCTTGTGTAAACTAATATAAAAAGATCGTAATACAATAAATATCTTGACATCGGCAAACAGCAGTAAACGGGTAAGTCCCATTAAAATTAAAAGTAAGCCGAAAATTATACCATTTAAACTATGCTGGTTAATTTTAATTAATATATTTATTATACATAACATTATTTAACAAAAGCGCTATGAGAAGATTATAAGCATTTCAAAAATGTATAATACTTATACATTTATATCAAAAACTTTGGAGTAATGTGGCATTGAATTATAGTAATGTATTGTGCCTATATCATATCATTGAACATGAGTTACCTATGCCTTTTTATATACATTATGGTTTGCAAAAACTTATTTAAAATATAGAAAAGAAAGCTTATTTATAAGACTAAATTAATTAATTACTTTTATTCCATAACAACGACTTTCACGTCAAACGATTTTGAGACGGCCTTGTATGGGGCTTTCCCAAGTGCACTATGAGAAAATCGCGTATGTGCTGTCTCATTACTCCGTATCTCAGTCATTTCAAAACTAAATGATCTATAATTTTAAAGTTTCACGGTTTTATATTCTAAAATTAAGAAATCCAATACAAACTTTCAACCCTTAATTCAACCACTCACAATAACAATCGTTTTTAAATTTCAAAAACGCTAGAACAAGTGCTTAAATATTAAGTTTTATGGTTTTCTCTTTTAAAATTCAGAAATCCCGTACAAACTTTCAACCCCTATTTTAACCTCTTCATCCCCTTTCTCGCAATAAAAGGTAGCCTATATTTTTCTCAGGGTCTAAAAATTGTCTGTGCCAAAATTCATCAAAATCGTTTGAGAGGTTTAAGCGGGAAAGCGTAACAGACAGACAGACGGACAGACAGACAGACAGGCAGAGTTACTTTCGCATTTATAATATTAGTTGTGATTGACTCTCCCCCGTACCCCAGTGACGCTTACATAGAGCCTACATCGCATGCTGGCTAGCTGAGCGCGATGAGCGGCAACCACGCGACTTTTTTCTAATACTTGCATTTTTAAACTTGTGATATCTTCCGAATGAAATGTCGGAATTGAATAATTCAAAAAGTTATAAAAAGGTATTGAAGCCGTCTTGAAAATAAAGTAATTTATTTTGATAAGGATTAATACTAAGGTACAAATAAAGAGCCTTTTCAAGCGGCGGCATATAAATTAAATTATTAGAATAAAAAACCGCTTACTGTGACATAACTATAATATTTAGACATATGCTGTCGCGATACTTCTTGTAGATGATGATGAGTTCTGCAAAATCGTAGTAAATGATTTTGTTCTATCATCAATAGTTTTCGCAGCGCATGTGACATAGGGAATTTTTCAGGTCATTTTTTTACACTTTGGGTTACATTATTGGAGTTTTAGTAAGGATCCCTAATTTTTTTATAAATATAATATAGAGTATGTTACTCGGGAATAATGTAGCTTTCTAAAGGTGAAAGAATTTTTGAAATCGGTCCAGTAGTTTCGGAGCCTATTCATTACAAATAAACAAACAAATCTTTTCTCTTAATATATGAATAGAGTCAAATTAATAACTCAAAAGCTTTTTTATACATAAATAGGAAGAATCTATGATGTTAATTTTTATTAACCTAATTAACTGTATTCAGTTAATTATGTCAATTAAAATGTTAGTTAGTGGTGGCCTAGTGGATAAAAGGCCCGCCTCTCTTGCACGAGGGCGCGGGTTCGATCCTGGCCCGGGCAAGTACCAATATGATTTTTCCGAATCATATGTACTTTCTAAAAAAGTATTTAGACATCACTGATTAATGCTGATTCCCAAAAGAGGGTTGATGTCAGGCAGGCGGCCGGTCATAAAAACAAATAGCCAAAAACTATTCACAACATGTAAGGCAGACCCTGGTTATAGCTGGGAAATTGCCAGGTAGAAGAAGAAGAAGAATTAACTGTTTTCAAATAAAAGTAACAAACATCTGTGATACATTGAATCCGTTCCAAGCGAGTGAACAAAGCTCTCCTCGGCCAAGCTCCGCTGGTATTAGCTTCTCTTCAATGTGAATTCATTCTGTTGAGTATCTCTCGTCTGCTGGTAACAGTGTTTGTTGAGAGAATATACATTTATACAATGTGTTCACTGAAGTGTTCCTGATACCGCTATACGGAATGTGAAAAATGATTAAGATTAACTAGTAAAGATAAGGCTTATGTATGTAACAACAGGCAGGCGTATACAATATGACAGAGTTATAATTTTTAGTAAATACTTGAAATATTAAATAAATAATAAACATATAACGTTATATATTCTTATTCTATTTATTAAACATACATATACACATATCACTTTTTAATATATATCAATGATAGAATGTCCTTTAATACTAAAAATTTCATACCAAGACATTAAAACGCAGAGTCTTAATATGTTGGGTTCGTGGATCTTGGAGTGTGACCTCGATCTATTGCAATGGTAAATGACCATAGTAGAATATGATTTACGTAAAAGAATTTTTTAAAATATTATAATTATACGCGAATAATCTGAAAATATTAGTTTCATTTTAATGATTACTCCTTAAAGTCTTAGATCTCGTTGTGATCTACGTATACAATTACATATATTCAAGTAAGATTCCATCAAAACTAGTTTTTAATTTACGTCCCTTCTCAAATTTAAAATATTATTCTTATTTATTTTCTTCTTATTTTCAAAGTTAAAAACTTACATGTGTTATATAAGTACTATAGACTTTGATGATCAATGTATTGTTTTGTACTTCAAGATTTGCCTTTAAAGTTAAAACCATGCAATGTACGATACAAAATTTACACTCTAAGCAAAGTGATCTATTTCGCATTTGACATAAATGTGATACTTTACTTACAGTCTTACAATTAAACTGTCCTATCACTTATTCACAATTAAATGTACACAATGTGGAAGATTAAATATCTGTAGGTGTAAATATATTGTTTTCCTAAGAAGATTTGCATATTACTAGCAAAAATGTTAAATTCAAACTAAAAAATTAAGAAAAAAAATAGGCTTGAATTTTCATCGTATTTTAAGAGATGACAATCATTAAATCCTTTAAATAGAGAGCATTTAATATTTACTGGCTCTTATACAGAACGCCACCGAGCTTACCACGCTCTTAAATCATTTAGTTTGTTCCAATACTCAGTTTAAATCCCCTTTGGCACTGTTCACAACATATGAAGGATATATGAAAATATATACATATATACAAATATCTTCTAAAATAAATAATTCAAATTAGTTTCAAAATTTCGATAAACAGACAGACTAAATGAGAAGTATACAAAAGTTTTAAATGGTAAATATAGCTTTTGTAAGGCGTTTAAATTAAAAAACTTGTTTTACTCAAAACGTTAGAATGTTGTTAAAATAAAAAGCACATAAATAAGTCATTACGATGCATTTTATTAAAGAATAACATATTTGTCTTTGTTTCAGATTATTAAGGATACAGACAAAACAGAAATATTCTTTATTATTTTAAGTAGTTACCGATTGTGATTTTGATAGGATAGGATTATAGGAACTTAGTTTTTGTGACACGATTTTATTTGTCTGAGTACTTTTTAATTGTCACACAAATCTGTTTCAACAATAATATGAAGCTCTTTTTCCTACAGACTATTGGATATAAATTAAAGACTGAATCTTCCTTCAAAGTAAATTATATTTAACTATAGATTTTAACAAACTTATCGGCTTGTGAGACCACTGCTAGCAGCCGATCTGTGATAGAAAAAAAATCTTGTTGTTTAAAGTGGAATAAAATGAGACCGGAAACAAGTTTAAGCCTCCAATAAGAATTAATATTGCATACATCTTCAGAATTTTTGTACAGTAACTTTTCTCTACTTTTATGAGTGTCTTAAGTGAACAAATTAATAATGTCTTCTTCTATTTCAATTCTTAAGCCACAATTTCCACAAGTTACATATGTGTACAATGTACATGTTATGTCTTCACCTTATAGAGTACGTTTAAAATTAATAAAGCGGTCGTATTTCAAAATTTCTGGTGAAAATCATGATAAAAAACTATTCTTGTTTATTTTTAATTTTAAAAATTACGTTCAAAACTTTAGTTTTAATTTTACTACATTAATTTACTTTATTGATGCAATAAAACGATTGTTATAATACCCAGGTGATCTTTTTAAATAGACCTAAGAAGATTTCAATATAAAAATAAATATTATATAACAGAGAATATTATACAAACTTTTAAGTAAAATACAAAATTTTAAATAAAATAGAAGGAATAGTAGATAGCTTTTTGAACGATCTTAACAAGGTAGATAGCCAACTGATAAGTAACGTCAAAAAAGCGTGGATCTACGAGAATTACTTAACTTCACGTTTGAATTGGCCTTTCCTCGTCTATGATTTTAATAAAACCCTTTTGTCAAAGTTAGATGCAGGCGTCATAAAGATGTTAAAGTTGTGGCTCGGGCTCGCTCTAACGGCTGATTCATCGGCTTTATTTAGGGGAAGCAATAGTTTTGGGATGAGTCTAAAAAGGCCATCAGAGCTCTATAAACACCTAAGAGTTTCCAAGAGATATATCCTGGGGAAATCCCATGATGACATAGTGACATCGCTCCCAAAAGATGAAGATGCCCCCGAGCTAGAGTCACGACTTCAATTCCATAAGCAATTTATGATAGGAGCACAAAGTAACAGAGCGGGGTTAGGATCAAATAGGAAAGTCCAAGATGCGGATATATTGAAGTCTTTTATTCGGCAAGACGAGAATGATAAATATAAGATCCATGCAATGAATTTAGAAATGCAGAACGAGTGGTTAGACATAGGAGATTTTTGCATCCCATTAGCATTAAAATGGCGCACTTTAATTTATGATTGGTCGCCAGCATTGCTAAAATTCTATCTCAATGCGTTCCAGATGACTCTCCCAGATCAGAGTAATTTAGTAAGATGGGGTGAAAGTACCGAAAAAACTTGCTATATCTGTGGAAAGGCAGTTGGAACTGCTAAGCATCTGCTGGTGGGATGTAGAGTACTCCTGGACAGCGGTCAATACTCGCGCCGTCACGATAGGGTTTTAGAGATCATACGTGAAGCGGTTAGTCTTTCGGTAGCCAGAGCGCAAAAGGAAATAACCACAAACGAACGATCAGTAGGTTTTGTGAGAGAAGGCACTAGGGCTACAAAATCAAACGTCAAGCCTTACTCCATCCTTAAAGTGGCGTCGGATTGGACTATAATGATGGACACGTATGAAAAGCAATATAAAATCCCCGAGGATATTTGTGCGTCAGCCTCCAGACCGGATATATTTTTGTTTTCGCGAATTTTAAAGCGCGTAGTAATGATAGAGCTTACGGTCCCTTGGGAAACCAACATCCCCAAAGACCATACCATCAAGGTCAACAAATATTACGAGCTCACAAACGAACTCACTCGAAATAGGTTCGTAGTAGATTTGTACGCGGTAGAGGTGGGAGCGAGAGGTATAACAGCGAAATCTCTCTACAACCTACTAAAGGACTTGGGCTTGTCCAGAACTCACATTAATGCATTCTTGGGACGTATATCGAAGGCAGCCCTAGTAGGTTCTTTTCAAATTTGGTTAGGTAGGGAGAGGAGCTTGGACAGTGGAGGTGAGCGTATAACGCGCGTTAGTTAAGGGGCCCCTTAAGCCTACACTTGGGTCGCAAGTCCCAGGCACTGTTGAAGCTCCTCTCCCTGCAACGCGATGGACCCGGCACCCGCACGGTGAATCCATGGAATGCTTAGTAGTTTCGTCTCATTAAAAGTATTTTCATCAAATCAAAACAGAGTAAGAAAATCTCTTACTCACAAAACAGTTATCTCAACAACAAATTACCAGAAAATCAAGTAATAAATGCGATAAATTTTGTTCATTATTATCTGTAAAGATCATCATTATTACCATCTAGCAATATATTGTTATTAGAAATTAAGAATGTTTGTACAAAAAATATAAATGAGCCTCTTTGTGGCTGAAAAATAAAAGTAATATTTTGTGATTTATTGTAAATGTGGCCGTCTATATCAATATAACGATATAAGTAACTGGTCCCATTGACAAGTTAATTATAATAATAATGACTTTATTATAATTATAGTAAAATGTGACATTTATCATAATACTAAAACTAAGAATATCGTATGAATACTAAATATATCTCTAACTATATTTTTCTTTAGTGTACAGTATTTCAATAAAATATTAATTTTACATATGTATTTACATGTGGGCTTTGTCATATATGATTAAAAGATTTTTAATAAATTAATTGATATTTTTTCAACTTCCAAATTATTTTTAAAATTAATCTTGAATTGCCATCGATGTCTTTACTTTTTTTATTAGCGATGTTCACGATTATCTATTATATATTAATAAGTTTTAAGGTACATAAATTATTTAAGTATGTAAGAAAATTAGATCGTCATTAAGATTACGATGATCTACAAACGATTCGAAAATCATTTAAAGTTGATTTAAAAACTATTCACATGGGTCTCATCAACTTTGTAACCCGACTCCAGTGAAAGCCCGGCATAGTCGGGGTTTCACTAGAGCCTAATTGCCGGGATCGCCCCCATTCTCCGAGGGAGTAAGTCCGGTTTTTGCCAAGACCGGCCAGTCGCTGGTGTGCCCTGTCGCTGACAGATCCGGGGTATACTGACATAGCGGCCGATGGCTTTCGCAGTGGTTTTAGTGAGTAGGGGCCTGCCCAGATCGAGTCTTACTCATCCCTTCTGGCCCCACCAAGGCCGGCTGGACGGCTCGTGAAAAGAGTTTCCCTGCGTCATCAAAAAAAAGGGTCTCATCAACTTTAACAGAATACTTCTACTGATATATTAATTACAAAGTGTTTTTATTATTGATAAAGAAGGAACTTGTAGGAAAATTATTGTTTAAATTTATTCATTAAATCATAAACATCATAAAGTCACAGCTAATTTAATATCCTTATTAAAAACTGTGCATCAAATTTTTAATAATACAATCGTATCGTTCAAAGAATGATTGAATATTTCATAATTCTATCCAGCCACAACTACAAGAATATTGATTTTACTGAAAAACAATGTTTTTCATGAAAATTAACATCCACTATACAATAGAATTAATGTAGACTGAGACAAAGAACACACAGAGAAAGAAGTAGTGTAAGTACCCTTGGTTCTGTGATATATTTTCGGAGGGTTATTAATCACTGGCTCTTAGACTATGAGCTCTCGTAGTGAGAAAAATTTGGTACACATTCATTGTGACTACATTCATTTCAAGGATAAAGAAGACACACATGTTTAAAAATATTAAAGTCGTATAAATACTTGTTATCTGATTTATAATATTATAAGAGAAAAGGTTTAAAAAAACGAAAACGATTTATAACACTTTTTATAACTGATATTATTAATAAACTCTCTGAAATTCTAATATAAACAATTCCTTAAGGGAAAAAGGCATTTTTGTTTCATAAACAAAAATACTATTTATAGAAAAAGAAAAATAAATCCGAATAACAAACATTGTCTTATTTGAACAAGTGATATCACACAATTTTCCTTATCATTAATGAACGAATGTACCTACTTGAAAGATGTTATATTTATTATTCAAAAAAAGATTGATATGTATTTTGATTTAAAATAAAAATAGTAATTTACAAACGAATAATTGTTAACTAACTGAAAAAATAAAACAATCCCAGCAATGCTTTTTGAATTATAAAATTATTTTAAGTTTTTAAGAATTATATATTATCTGGATATTTCATATCACTCTCATAATAAATTTGGCAATTCATCTAAGCCAAGAGCTTCTGATAGGGGTGAGTGAGGATATTACACTCTTGAACTAATTAATTCCGTTGAAAATTAACGAATCTTGTGAGCGACTCCTCTCTTGACTTCATTGAGATTTTATTTATACTAAGTTACTAATAACATATATTTATATGTATCTTATATGTGTCCACTGTTAATTTATGAACTTGAGGTTTGTATTCATACCTTCCAATTTGGTAGCCAAAAGTTTTAGAAAACTAAAACAAATATGAAAATAAATTATGTTATTCACAACTTATATCTCAAACTTAAACCTATATGATAAACTAATGACATGATACAATTGTATTGGTAGGATTATATAAATCATTAAAATATTAAATAAAAAAATAAGAGAATTTATATGTACATATAGGATTTAAAAATAAGATGTTAATGTTTTCAATGGAATACATTATAACTGGAAAATGTTGTTGAGTGACTTTCCACATCTCTTCAGTGAACAGAGATCACATGACCTATACACTCAACTGTACACTAGCACAATATAATTTAAACATAAAAACAACACACAAAACAAACAACCTTAACAATGAAAAAAATAATTCAAAGAAATACACGAAATATATCGTTTCTCCCCTCTATTCTATATTTCATATGAAAATCTTAACCATTAGTTCTATTTTTGATTAAATTGTGACTTCTGAGAATTTATTGTTAACAAAAATAAAAGCCAATTTTATTTATCTTAATAGTGTTAAAAAAAAACATGCAGTATTTTTTTTAATTTAAATATCTCAATTTTTTTAACGATCATATCTTATTTTAACTGGTTCATTGAATTAAACATTTTCTCCTTGTTTTTTACTAATTCTTTAAATAAAAAAAATTATATATCATTTCATTATGTATATACTGCCATCCTTAAACAATATGTTTTTGTTTCATCTCGTCATTAAGATAGAACAGCTTATTTTCATATTTTAAGATAATTTTCATACTCTTGTTCTCCGAAACCGACTGTCATAAAGTTATTACTCAATCTAATATATTAAAGTCACAATACGTAGGTCTCTGCTTCTTACTTTCTGTATCCGCATGTTCGTTTTCGCAAAACGAAGAACAAATTAATCATAACCATAAAATTTGAGATTTAAAAAGTAGACCAGTTATTATATTAATTACTAGAAGACCTGGCGAACTTCGTATCGCCCTATAATCAAGAAATATCTATTACGTTTCTTTATTTATGTATATTTTTGGAGTTTACCTTTAAGTCATTAATTACCGTGTTTTGAAGTGCGACAGAATGATTGACATATTAGTTAGTTGTCAAATCTAATGTCAAAAAAAAACGTTTGTATGGGACATAGAAAAGGGCTGTTTTTATGGTTTTCCCAGTAATGAATCAATTTTTCTCAGCTTTTATACCTACCCTGAACCTCCACGAACATTTCAAGACTAAGATAAGGCAAATCCGTTCAGCTGTTCTCGAGTTTTAGCGAGACTAAGGAACAGCAATCCATTTTTATATATATAGAAGATTAAGGCTAACCAGTGACTAGTAACACTCAGCAGCCAACCGCAACCTCCCGTGAGGATCCTCGCGGCTGTCAGCATTACGAAACAGTTTACTTAGTAATAACTAATAAGCGGTACAACAAGCAAATAAGGAAGTTGGAGTCTTGTGTTAAAGATAATACATATGTATAATGATATATGTATACATGTTTGAAAATATTATGATATTAAAGGTTGTATACTATGTAGTTTAGGAACAAACAATGATTTAATAAAGTTTAAGATGTAATGACATGTACAATATTTATGTAATTAATCAAGTTCAAACGACTCGGAATTAAACATATAAATCATTAATATATTTATTAATGTGAACACCTACAACGTATTATATATATATATATATATATATATATATATATATATATATATATATATATATATATATATATATATATATAATACCCTTGTTTGGTACAGTCACCAATAGGAGGTGCTTAAGATAACGAATATTTATTAAGTTATAAAAGTATAAGAACTAAACAATATATTAGAATATATTAAAATGTACTCGCAATCATTTGTTACAAAGGGTATATACAAATATAATATTTTCTCATAAATACTGTTGAATATTCATACATACTTATAACATTTTTTTACAAAACTAAAAACAAAATCGATAGAGAGGAATAAAAGTAAGCTACGAGTATATATAAAAAAAATATTTTTTATAAAAAAAGGAAACAACAACAAATCGAAGACAGAAATGGTAATAATAATTTACTAGCTTTCCGCCCGCTTCTTCACCCGCGTGAAGTTCGGTTATATCGCGTTTCCAAGAGAACCTTTCAAAAGTCTGGGATAAAAACTATCCTATGTTCTTTCTCAAGGTCAACTCTATCTCTGTACCCAATTTATTTATTTTTGAAGCCAATTTATTTATTTTTGAAGACAACAATAAATAAATATAAATAAATATATAATTAAATATTAATTTTTAATATATTTCTTCAAGAATATTTTGTTTTAACTCGAACATCGTTTTCACTAAAAAGATCTTAGTAATTGTAAGTCTTACTTTTTGGAATTCCTTTAAGTAAATGTAAAAAATATTCGTAAATCGATTGTATAATAATGATAACCAGATCACGTCATTCATATGACGTGTCAGTTTTATAAATAATACTTTCAAAATTATTATAAAAGAGAACGATTATACTCCAAGCGACGTCATTACCAATTCATTCACCATCTCTCATATTAATTAATACTCGATGTATTTCAGCGAGGCTCGTCGACTCTCAGAGTACCGGGTTCAGTTAATACAACCTCACA